AGAAACCCTCTTATATATATACTAGTATTAGGTCTTAATATAGAATTATAGTATAATACTCTATTTAAGGAGTTCTCTTAGATACTTAATAAGGGCTTAGATAGTAGGTTTTAGTATTTAGAAGTATATAGCTATTACTTTAGTAGCTACTTCTCTCTCTTTAATTAGCTTCTTACACTCTTTAATATATATACTTAAAAAAAGAATTAATAGCTCTTAGGCAGAGCTCCTCTAAATAAATAGGATAGAAAGAAAGTCTAGAAAATATAGGTTTATTATTAAAATTGCTATATATAAAAGAGACGTATTCTTTATTATTTTAATATAGCCCTAAATCTTATATTAGTAGGTACCTAAATTGTATAAATTTAGATACTTACTATTATTAGAAAGTTATTATATTAGTATAGTATATAATACGCAATATCCTTATTAAATTAACTATAACCTTTAGTAGGCTTCTAGTAGAACCTATAAAGGTAATATACGTACTTAAACTATTACTATTAATAACTCTTCTTTTTAAGATTTAATAGCTTTATAGGTTTAGTAGCAGTATTAAAGATTTAAAAAGTTATACCCTTAATATTAGCGTATAGAACCTTATTTATAATAGCTAAGGTAAATATAGAGTAAGCTTAGGTTAAAGATATAGAGTTATAGAGATCTATATATTTAATAATATACTAAAGAACTTCTAGCAGTATATTATTAAGTTTAGCTATATTAAAGACGTAGTAGGCAGAGTCTATAATTAGTAAAAAGAGTTCTAAATAGAAAAGTAATAGTTAAGTTAGTAAGAAGTAGAAGTAATAAGGAAAAGAGTAAAAGATAATATAAAGTTATAGTATAATATAAGTAAGATACTATATACTTTTTATAATTTTAATAATATAGGTTTTATTAAAATAGATAGATAGTTATTTACTATATATATTAATAATTAGAAGTAATAGTTAGTAAAGGTACTTCTTCTCTTATAAATTTATTAAATAAATTTTAATATATAAGTAGCTTTAAAGGAAATAGATATAAAGTAATAAGAAAAGAGAAGTAAGTTTAAAAAGGTAACTATTTATAAAATATTACCTTTTAGATATATACTCTTATAGCCTATTAAATAACGTTGTATAGGACAAATTATATACTTAAAGATAGAAAAGAGGAGATATTTAGATAAAAACTACTTATTAAAATAGAGGGGTAAATATAGTTTCTAGAGGAAGCCTAGAAGTAAGAGTAAGTAAACTATTTAATAGTGTAGTAGTAGTTAAAATACCTTCTTTAGTTAGAGGTAATAATAGATAGTTAGAAGTAATAATAGATAATTAGAAGTAATAATAGATAAATAGAAGTAATAATAGATAGTTAGAAGTAATAATAGATAATTAGAAGTAATAATAGATAATTAGAAGTAATAATAGATAATTAGAAGTAATAATAGATAGTTAGAAGCAATAATAGATAGTTAAAAGTAATAATAAATAGTTAGAAGTAATAATAGATAGTTAGAAGTAATAATAGATAGTAAGAAGTAATAATAGATAATACTAATATTTTCTATCTAATTAGAGGCAATAATAGTAAGCAAGTAATACCTATTTACTTATATATAATAGTAATTTATTTCCTAGAAAATAGAGATTAATGTATTACGTTACTATTATATTTTTATATACACGTTTTAATTATTTATTAGTCTTTATTTAGCTAAAGTTTAACCTAGTTATAAACTTTCTATATTATTAGCCCTCTACTTCCTATTACTATTACTATTACTATTACTATTACTGTTACTATTACTGCTACTTCTAGCTTTGTCCTTATTCTATATTAATTATATAGCCCTGTAGTAAGGTATTATACCTTCTAGATTACTACTATAATTCTCTTTTTCTAGGCAGTGTACCTAGGATTTATAAAAGCTTACTTAAAGTAGCTTTTATTCTTAGTTAGAGTAGTATTATTACGCTACTTAGTAGTAAGCTTATTAAGTTAGAAGAGCTAGGTATTAAAGAAAGCCCTAATAGTTTTATAGACTTATATAAGAAGGAGCTAAACTCTAACTTTATAGAGCTATACTCTAAGTCTCTTATTAAGCTTAAGGCGCTATAAGATATCTTTATCTTTTAAGTAGAAGGTATTACTATTATGCTAAGTAATACTCTCTATTTCCTTTTACTACCTAACTAGGTCCTTAGAGATCTTACTAGAGATATCTAGAGTACTATACTAGTACTAGGAATTACTTACCTTAATCCTTTACTTATTAGCTTACTATAAGACACAGTATAGGAACACCTAGGCTACGCTAATAGAGTTATATTATTAGTTAACTATAATTACAGTTATAAAGAAAGTTAAGATAAATAGATAAAGGTTTACTTCTAAGGTATAAAGGATATTTATATACTAGCTTATCTATATAAACTATTATTACCTATACCTCTACTAAAGCTGCCTTAGTTATATATTTAGGATTACTAGTTAATTAGTAAGAGTTTTTATAACCTAGCTATAGTTTATAATATAATCTAGGGTTTATAACTAAACTAAACTTTAACTAATAGCTACCTAGGCTCTTAAATACGTGTCTGTATTAGTATATTAAGTAGCTAGTTATTAAGAGATAGTATACTAATTAGCTCTCTATTACCTTTACTATATACTCCTACTAATATTTACTATATAAAAAGGGGCTGGGTATTAGCTTCTACACTAAGTTACTATATTAAATTCTTACTATGTTACGTCTATCTGCCTATACTATAAGTATAAATACGCTATAAACCTAAAATAATAGTAATTTATAGTTTATTACTATAACTTACTATACTTTATTAATATTTACTATAATTTATAGCTTCTAGCTTTAACTTAATAACTTTTATAACTATATTTACTTATAATAGCTAGATATAATAAGCTTAGCTCTTCTACCTAAAGAAATTTATAAGTTTTATAATAAAAAAAGCTTAGTACTACTTCTTAATAGTAGTTTAAGCTTTATAATATAGAGAGCTAGGCTTCTCTTTTTAAAGAAATCTTTAAATACTATAACCTAAGGGCTTTAGTACTTCTACTTAATAAACCTTCTAGCTGTATAGCTTAGAAAACTTAAATCCTCTACTTAAAGAAATCTTTAAATTCTATAACCTAAGGAGCTTATTACTTCTATTAGGTAAAAGCTTCTAGCTTATAGTATAGTTAGCTATTTCTATATAGAAATATTATTATATTTAAACTATTAAGGTAGTTTTAAATAATAATACTATAGTAATTTTAACCTTAGGATAGTAATTTATAGATAATCTTAACTTTAAGGCTTAGAATAGTAATTTATAGCTTATTATTACTTTAGTATTTAAGAAAGTAATTTATAGTAAATTATAAACTTTAATATTAGAGATAATAATTTATAGTTAATTATAACTTTACGTTTAAGATAGTATTTTATATTAACTTATAAACTTTAACGTTAAAGATAGTAACTTATAGGTAATTATAAACTTTAATATTAGAAATAGTAACTTATAAGTAATTTTAAACTTTAATATTAGAAATAAACTTATAGTTAATTATAAACTTTAATATTAAAGATAGTAGCTTATAGGTAATTATAAACTTTAACCTTAAAAATAGTAACTTATAGGTAATTTAAAACTGATATTAATATAGAACTTTAACATTAAAGTCCTATATTAATATTTACTTTAACTATTATATATAGCTCTATTTTAAAATAATATAACTATTATATTTTTAATCCTAATATACTTAGGGGTAATAATAGTTAGTAAGTAATACCTATTTACTTATATATAATAGATATAAAACTAGAATTTAATTAAAATATAAAAATCTTCTTTCTAGTAGAAAAACTTATATATTCAGAAATAATATTTAAATATTAGTAATAATATTTACTAGTTAAGTAATAATATTTATATAATTAGTATTAATATTTAAACTTTAGTAATAATATTTTAACTTTAGTTATAATATTTAAGCTTTAGTAATAATATTTTAGCTTTAGTAATAGTACTTATATAACTAATTATAATATTTATATAGTTAGTAATAATATTTATATAGTTAGTAAGAATATTTATATAGTTAGTAATAATACTTAAGCTAAAGTAATAATATTTAGGTAATTAGTATTAATGCTTTAGCTTAAGTAATAATATTTTAGATTTTATAAAAATATCTAAGTTTTAGTAATAATATCTAAGTTTTTATAGTATTTATAAGAAGTGTATTTAATACTAAGTATTAATTTAGCTTATAGATAATAATATCTATTTAGTAATAATACCTATTTACTTATATATAATAGTGTTAACTACTAATACTTATACTACTATTTATACTTTAAAAATTCTTAGTATACTACTAAAAGAACTATAAGTAGAAATAAACTAGTTCTATAGATTCTTTATAAATTTATTTAATTTATACTAGTAACTACTCTTTAAATTAGCTTTTTATATAGTTAAACTTAAAGTTTATTTTATTTTTATTTTACTATATTTAATTAGTCTAAATTTATTACTTTCTTTTTAAAGGCTTTTTTAACTAGCTATAAAGCTTTTACTTTTAATTAAGTAACTATAATATCTTAAATTATTAATATACTACTAGTAGTTTTTAAAGTACTTTTAATACTTAAACGTATTATTATAAGTAAACTAAAATCTCAAAGGTAAACTATAAAAGTAGTTACTAGTATTAATTAAGTAAATTTACTAAGAATATATAGTACTAGCTTTTATTTACTTTTAGTTCTTTTAGTAGTATATTAGCTATTTCTAGTAGGCTAGCTAAGAGTAGGTATTAGTAGTTATAGTTACTAAGCTCTAAGGCTTTACTTACTAAGGTTCTACTAGGCTTAGCCTATTATATACTAAAGGTAGGCTAACAGAAGCTTAGATAGAAATACCCGTAATATCTAGGAACTAGCTTCTAGCACTTACGTACTTCTTCTCTGCTAACTTAATAATCTCTAAGCTGGCCTTAACTGCGTCTCTAGACGCAAATTACACCTCGCTGCTACTGTCCCTTACCTCTCCGCCCTCCCTTACGGATGTAGGTAGTCGCTTTGTTTCTCTTCTGCCCGTCCCTACTAATATTAGTAGCCTCTGACCTCGCTAATCCCCTCACGCCCGCTGACGCTATAGCGCGCACCAAACTTGTTAAGCTTATTGAGGGCAGCTTACCCACCGAGCGATCTACATCCACTAAGAACATTGCACCCTCAAGGGCAAAAGCGATCGCGCGACCACAACAACTCACCCACAAATGCTGCGTCACAACCCTTCAAGAAAAAAGCTCGTGATTCTGCACACCCCGACACCGTACCCTCAGCTGTCTCCCACACCTAGCGCGACAACCCGTGCGATACCCACCTCGATACTCTCTACGGCGCCATCGACTTCTGGCGCAGCGAAGGAAGTTGGCCGAAGGAATACCTTGCGTCAGACCCCATAGCTCATCTGCTAGCAACATCCAGGTCGACGCCCTCGTTGCGGCGCAAACGATCCGCTCAAGCCTCGCAGACAGCTACCTCGGCTAGACCCAGCGACCAGAGACCCCGACACGAGAAGAGCGCTCTCTACCAGGATGCCCGCTACAACACCCTGCTAGAAACCAAGAAGAGCTTCATACACGAGGACAAGCAAGGACCTTCAGATATAAGCAGGGACGCATGTCAAGTTCTCCTCGCTCAACAGCAAGACGTTCCGCACACCTCGCGCTTCTCCGACACCATGTTCAAAGCGACCTGCTAGCGCATCGACGGCAAGAACGAAGCCAAAGTCATACAGGATATCACCCGCCTCATCGTCCCGTCGGCAGAAGAACTGGCCGATTCTGGGGCTGAGGTGCTTGGATGTCTTGTCGAGGCTGTCAATGAGGGCTGGAATAACGCCGTTCCTGTGACCAAAACGCGCCCACAGCCCGATAACTCCGTCGGTTTCAAACGCAATGCTTTCTCCGATACCCAGCACGAAAAGCTTTCCCCCTTCATTGGTGACTTCATCGCCGGCGCGCAGTCCTACTTCATGGCAACATACTACATGTACTTTCCCTTTCTGACGTGCGAGGTCAAGTGCGGCGCTGCAGCCCTCGACATCGCCGACCGTCAGAACGCCCACAGCATGACACTTGCCGTGCGGGGTGTAGTTGAGCTGTTCTGGCTTGCCCGCCGCGAAGACGAGATAAATCGCGAGATTCTTGCCTTCTCTATCTCCCATGACCACCGCACTGTGCGCATCTACGGTTACTACGCTGTTCTCGACGGTCTCAACACATCCTTCTACCGCTACCCTATTCGAGAATTTAGCTTCCAGGAACTCGACGGCAGGGAACGATGGACTGCGTATAAGTTCATCAAGGGAGTCTTTAAGTACTGGATGCCTATGCATTTCGCGAGACTTTGCTCGGCAATCGATCATGTGCCGAGTGGTGTGGATTTCGATGTTCCGCCACTGCAGCAAAACGAGGCGTCTGTTGCGGGTGAGAGCATAGAGATCGGTACCGAGGATAGGCGGTATTTGGATGAGTCAACGCTGAATGCCGACTCCACCGTCTCCCAACAAAGTGCGTCGAAGAGGCAGAAAGGGAAGTAGGGGACAAATGGTACAGTATTGTTCTTCCCTCCCTCGCCGACGCGATTACTGTTCCAAATCCCGTGCTCGTTAACGTCGTAACATCTCCCCATACTCAAGCCTCACGGATCCACGTCACCAACTATCGTCCTGTCAGCACATCTCTAAGCGTTTGCTCAGAAGGCATATATCAATCCCAACCACTAACACCCAGCGCGAAACCTCTTACATCCCGAGAATACTAAACTTGAATGGACCGGCGCCCATAGTACTCGCGGTCCCTTACCCCAAGACGCAAGTCCCCAGGATGCCATGCTTAGACAACGACACCGCGCCTGCGCATTGGGAAGGTGCCCTTGCACATCTATTCATCCTGCATTTGACCTTGCTTGAGTAGTCGCAAGGAAATCAAGGGTGTATCTCAGGAGGAGTATGCAATCATTGTCAAGGAAAACATTCAGCTATCCCTGACTTGGCGCGGGCAGGAGGGAGAAGGTATAGCACCTTGTCCATGAACGAATACCAAGCGTAAAAGATCATGTGTGCCTGATGTGTGTAGATAATGGTCTTGTAGGAGCAGGCTAGTTGAACGTGTTGGCTTGAAACTTGCAGATAACACTGTTGTTATGGTAGGTTTCCCAGTGGCATTATCGTGCGTCGCATCACGACCTACCGTGTTATGCAGAGGCAATGATCCAACGCTGCCTCTTGGTTGACTGAGGTACCAGGAAATAGATGTTCTGAGAAGTAGTTCATCAACTTCTTTCTCTAAGCATATATGTATGTATTATCTGCTTCAAAATCTGCGCAGTCACCCGGTATTCCGATTGACTAAGAGGTTGCCTCACCTGTAAATCTGTCGCTGCTTTCCTTTCGCAGCGTAGCATCGCCCTGTTTTCCTGCCACAACAAAACCACGTCTCAGTCTACAACTGAGATGTCTTTTGGAAGTGACAAGCACATCTTCTACAATATGCTGTGCTGCGCAATTACAAGCGAGTCACCCGAACTGCACACCTCTTGGAATACTGTCCTTTCCTTGACAATGGTCTTTGCATCGTGAACGACATAGTTGCCAAGAATGATGTTGGATGATACTCATCACCTCTCGAACTCGCAAGGCGGCGTTGAACCTGTTGCTCTACCAACTGTGTCTTCAGCCATAAGCACACCAGCTGCATTGTTAACGCGACGGCTTACTCGTTTCAATGACAACTTACTCGCCTTCCTCTTGTTAGTCGATCTAACTGCCTTTGCCAACCATCTAAGCAACGATGCAGATCCATGCAACAAGTATAATAAGGCAGATAGACATAACGAGGGCTGCACGCATCAGCAGTCACGTCACAACGCCGAGTCTTTCGCCCACATACTGGTGAAGCATCGCTGGGACCCCACTACTAGATATGCCCACACTTGTTTGGCCGCGACAGCTTCTTGAATCGTCGATACCATCCCGCCGACGGTGCCGCTCGGGATAAGTGACTAGCACAACACAAAACTGCACACAAACGCGATACTTCTATCCCCCAGCACGGCACATCCTACAAACACTTGGGTAAGATCTTGCTCTCGAGTCAAGACATCAGATAAAGACATGGACGGAGACGCAGCAGATGCCTACTGTGTGCATTCACAATCGCGTCGCTATCGAGGGCACAGAACGCGAACACCACGACGAGCTGCCGTAGATGCTGGATAGAATTGTTGCAATTGCCAACAGAGCGGGCTACCTTGTGGTGCCTGTGTGCTGTCATCCTTCATCTATAACCAGACCTACTAGACTGGAGAAAGTTGTGAGTCGATGACAAGAAATCGACACCAACGTCCACGATCCCGGGCAGGTTTCACGCCATTTCTCTGGCAACTACCCGCCACGTATACTGCCCACTTGGCACTTTGATGGAAATGAATCTCATTTCCGGTCTTCGCGTCTATCCAAGGCTTCTTCGTGCAAGGCGCGCCTCGTTGTCGGCAATACCAAGTCCATTGTTGACAACGATGGTATCTTCCTTTTTCTTCTCGCCATAGCTGTCTAATTGCCTCAACGTCTCCATGCGCGCGTAACAATGGCTCAAAGCGTCCAATCTGGAGGCGTATTGAGGCAGTCCTCCTGAGAGACGTTTCCTCGTCGATTGCATCGCTCATGATGACATACTCTTGATGGATTGTCCTCGACTAGAACATCGCCGGCGAACACTTTCATCAACTACCCGCTCCTCGACTCAAACCACAACGGAACCACCACTTTCATCTGGCTATTCTGAGAGACTCTCTCGTCGAGGACCGAGCTAAGATGGCTGGCATAATCGACAACTATTTACCAAGGTCAATACGAGTATTGCGTCGGAAAACCTCATGACTAAAACACTGGCACTATGCTTCTGTCATTTTTCACGCAATCATGCTGCCCTTTCGCATTCAACTAACCGTACTTTCTGAGCTTACTCCCAAGTTCCGAGTATCATTCCTTGTCTCCAATGACAACGACTATGTCGACAGCAGGATTGATTCATTGAACGGCAATGACTTCTCAGCTCGTCCAGATAATGTGACAAGATGTCGGCACCTGACGGACTCGTTGTCAATTGGTTACAACTATGACAATCGAGATCTCGGCTTCCAAGGGACCTTCAAAAAGACCAGACGTTCTGTCCCTCGTTGCTGCTTCACTCCTCGTTATATCAAACCTCGAAAAGCTGAGACACTGGCAGCATCCTCTCTAGGACTTATAGCGACCTCCCTCTATGCGCTCGGTCCTGATGCGCTTAATCCTGATCCACTGCTTGCACAGGACAGCCATCGTTCGTCGAAGATCGGCGGCTATGATAACACATCGAGCCTGGGACTGTGAGAATCAACTTAGCCCTTGACGACAAAGAGGGCAACCGCTGTCTCAATCTACCTTCCGCCGGCGAAAGCGGCAATGCGGCAATCAAAACGGAGACGGAGGCGGAGTAAGTGGAGAAGAGGAACCAGCCACCTCGACGGCATCGCCCACAGAATATGCGGCGTTCAGGGACAACAGATGAAGCGCGCGTGTTATACAAGAAAGCTCGAAGATCGTGCATCGCGACGCGCCTTAGATGTTATGTGCAATTTTCTGCAGTTGCTGTAAAGTTATATAATTTCTGCGATAGCTCTCTCTAAGCTTTATGAGTTCTATAGTGCTTTGACGCGAAGCGCTCTATTATAACCATGTTGCACACCGCCAGTGTACTAGACGTACCAAAAAAGGGGCACGCTCGAAGGTATCTTCCCAATCTGCTAACAAATAGACAGCATATGCCTGTATAATTTGGAACTTTTGCAAGTGCAGTAAAGTTTAAGAGTTACAACCAGGAAGGTTAAAGAGTAATCTTATAATACAACTGCATAACTTAATAACTATCTTAATAAAGATTATAGAAAGATTATATTTACAGGCTATAAAAGAAGTGTACACCTCTCTATAGAAATATTAGTTCTCTTAGTTATTAGGGTAGGCGTTAGAATTAGCACGTATAATATTCCTCTTAATAATACAGAAGTAGTAATATAATAGTAGTGTAGTAATACAATAGCAGCGTAGTACTTTACTCTTTCTATACTTACTAATAACTAAATAAAAAATAATAAGTAAGTTTCTACTATTAACTATTTAGCCTTTACTACTACTACTACTAGATTTTAAAAGCGCTTAAAAGGCTCTAAAAAACGTAAAACTATTAATAGTAGTATAACTAGTAGTATAAACACTAATATTACTAATAAAGATAACTTAAGCTAGTGTTAAAAGTGTTACTAATATAGGTTAATTATATTTCTATAATTTTCTACCTTACTATTACCTAACTTAAATATAAGCTTATACTTAACGTTAACTACTTTAAAATTTTTATAACTAATAACCTACAGCCTTTTATTAAGAAAAGAATATCTAGAAAAAGAATATTAGTACTTAGAATTATAAAGTATATTTACTAAGAAGTAGAAGTTTCTTAATAAAGTATAAGCTAGTAAAACTATAACTACTACTTAGGCTATATATTAAATATAGAGAATTAGTAGAGAAGTATAAGAGTACTAGAGTTAATATATAGGTAAAAGTATAAGGTAAAAGAATTTAAGACTAATTTTAACCTTAAAGTTAAATAATATAGAAATATTTATAATATATTAGTGTTTTAAAGTACTTTTTATTTCTACTACTTAGCTAGTGTTTCTATATTACTTATAAAATAGAACTTTTAGTTAAGGTATTATAAAATTTATATTTATAGATTATATTATGTAGTTTAAAATGCTGTAAAAAAACATTACTTAATTGTAATTTAAAGGCAGCTAATAGAAACAGACTAGTACCTGGCGGGGAAGCTGGGCTAGCCTTTCCGACTTACACACTAGCGCATCTACAAACATTATTACAACACTGGGCAAGACGCGTAGAGCAGTCGACATGGCCAAACGAGTTCGATCCACCAGCCCTTACGATAGTCTGCAGCCTGTTAAACGCCATGCACGCAGTACGTCACTGTCTGCGCTTGTCACCGTTGCCGTCGCCGTCGCCGCTGAACTGCACACGTGCACACTACCCCTCACGCTCGAGAACCTCACCCAACACACGCTGAGCTGCGAGTCGCAATCCACCCACCCACAAGCACCCACCATGTCGTCGCGAACGGGCTCGCCGACGCGCACCACCTGGGACAATCGCATGACCCTGCGCTCCTATAACATCCATGTCGACGTCGCCCGTCCGCTACCCACGCAGCTCCAGCAACATGTTGATACAGTCCTCCTGCAGACTCGACCTGGCCCCCGGTCGCCCAACGCGAAGCGCATTGTACAACAGCGGCTGGCAGCGTCGCTGGACAACGAGACCACGGGGATACGCAAGTTGGAGCCGCTGTTGCTCTTTGCTGGCGAAGACGACCCCGGCGCCGCCAACGGGGTGCCCATGATCTCGAGCAAGCTCAACTTCAATCTGGATCGCGACTTTCTCCCCACGGCGCCGCCAGGCAAGAAGCTCCCGCGCCTCTCACAACCACAACCTGACACCATCATCGGCTATCTGTCCAACAACCAGGCCCTGTCCACCGAGCCCCCTCTGGCAACTGCCTTTGACGTCAACGCCGAGGAAGCGCTTGTCAACTTCACGCTCAATCCCGTCCTGCTCTTTCCCTTCCTCACCTCCCAGTGGAAGCCAGCCACGGGCGACTCCTCCATCATCGCCCATTCCCAGAGTGCCCGAGACGGCGCCACCATCGTCCGCTATCTCGACCAGTTCTACACCACCGCACGCGGACAGCCGCCGACTGAGTGCGAATGCTCGCATATCTCGTTTACGTGCGACATCCAGATGCTCAACATCTGGCTGCACTGGCGCGAGCTGGACGCATCCGGCACTGCCACATACTACATGAAGAGCATCTACGACTGCACGCTGCGCAACGAGAAACAACTTCTAGCCGCGAGAGAATTGCTGTGGAACCACATCGATTACGCCCTCACCCACCGCTTGCAGTCGCTCAAGCAGGCCATTGGGCCGTTCAGTCGCAGATTCGTCAGGTCCGCTAAAATGGCTAGCTCTACAAGATCAGATTCCACGCCTGTCATGCTGCCGCCTACGCCGTCGTCGACTTACTCGGTGTCTTCGGAGCCGGTCAAGAAGCGGAGTAAACGGGCAAGATCGAATGATGAAGATGAGTGAACGTCTTCACGGAGTCTCAGCGCATTGAATGTACTCAACATTTGTCAAGAGATATCGACTGCAGATGAAGCCGTCACAATGGAGACGCCGACAGATAGATAACCGGAACTGCAAGCTGCTGCACGTCAATTAGCCAAGCTTGGAGGAACCAGGTGTGTGGTGCAGGACGAGGCGGAGCGTACTCTGATCAACTTCCTGAGGTTTAGTTCAAGAGTTCAAAGTAAACCTTCGTTAAGGTCGTGAATTGTTTACAAGCCTTCGTATTAACAGGAGTTTACAGTCGCAAATAATTAATAGTAATTATAATAAGACTTTACTTAGATATTTCTAGATAGATTACAATCTCCTGCTAGTTATATTCGTGCCTACTTACATTGTTATAGTGTTATAAAAATTACTTTTCTTACTTACGCTATACCTTTAATACTAGTTTTTATTAAGATTATAATTTTATTTACTATCTAAAGAAAGAGTAGTAAATATTATTTATTTTATAAGTGTATACTATAAAAGGCAGTCTTTATTCTATTCTATTTCTAGTAAGTTAGTATATTATTTATAGAAACTATAGTAGTAGTACCTTCTAGTATAAGTTTAAGAATAGGATATACTTTTCTATAATAAAACGCTACTCTAAGTTAGCTTAATAAATAGGTATACTTATATAACTTATATAGTTAGATAGGTATACTATTTTACTAACTTAGTAATTCTAACGTAGATATAAGTATCTACCTAATACTAGTTACTTAGATTACTAATTAGATTATATTAATATAGCTATATAACTAGTTATACCTTAATCTACTATATAATAAGGCGTTAGAATAAGGCTTAGTATTATAATAATATACCTAATAACCTATCTACTTTACTAAGTTTTATCTATATAGAATCTTATATAAAATAGTTTTCTATTATAATAAGTATATATATTAAGAGTTAAATTATAATTACTTATAAGGTTAAGGTACGTGCTTAGTAATTTTAAATAATTTATAATATCTAATATAACTCTTAGGTAAACTACTACTATAGGTAAGCTACTACTTTAACTAAGGTCTTAATATTTATATAATAATAACTTAATATAATAATATACTATAATAGTATAAATATTACTAAATTATTTATTACTATTTATTATATTTTTCTTAAATATTTATATATTATATTCTACAATCTTATACCTTTTATAGTGCCTTTTATACCTATTACCTATACTTATTTATAACCTACTCTTGCGTATTTCTTCTTTTAGCTATACTGTAATATTACTTTTAGTAACTAACTTATCTACTTCTATATTTAATAGGTCTTTTTCTACTTATATTTACTTCTTTTTATAATATTTATACTTAAAATTAGCCTTATTAGCTCTCTTTAGTCTAGTAATTTAACCTTTTAGTAATATATATTAGAACTTATTTAAAGTAATTTCTTCTTTAAGTATAGAAGTATATTAAAAATAAATTCTAGTAAAGAACTATAATAAGATTTAATATACTTTTAAGTAAGTATAGTTTAGTCTTTTATTTACTAGTTACTATATAGTATTTTAGGTTTCTAAAAGGTAGTTTCTTATATTAGAAGCGTAGGTATATAAGGCTTTACTTAAAGCTTAGTAATATAGTATCTAGGTTAGGTAGAACTTTCCTAGTTATATAAGAGCTTAATTAATTATTCTGCTTTAAAAGTAAGCTTTTTAATACCTTAAGAAATAAGGCTAGAAAGACTTTTTTATTAATATACTTAATATAGCTATAATAAAATAACAGAGTAGTAGAATCTATAGAATAATAGATTATATAATTATTTTAATTAAATAAGTATCTATTTTTTAAGAAGATAGATTACCTTAATATAGACTAAATTATATAATACTAGGTTCTATAATATAATTTAGATACCTCTATTAAAAAGAAATTTACTAATACTCTTAGTAGTCTATTATCTTATACTCTAGTATTTTATTATTAGTTACTAGCTTTCTTTCTTTTATTTACTACTTCTTTATATAACTTTTCTATTAGCTTCTAGACTTTATTTACTGTAATAACCTACTTCTTCTTTAAGCTATTAGACTTCTCCTATAAAATCTATATTTTATTAAAGAATATAATAATTATTTCCTAATACTTAAACTTATTTACCTATTAGCTTACCTTTTTAAATATACTAACTAGTTACTTACTTATTAGCCTACTAGCCTAAAAGCTTACTTTTTTATTTACTAGTATTACTACTATTATATACTTACTTCTAGAAATATCTTACTTATTATAATAATTAGCTTTATACTTTTACTCTATAATATAAAGCTTACTTATATTAATTTATATATTAATAGAAAGTTTACTTATAATAATTTATTCTTTAATTAGAGGTTTACTTAGAATTAGGTTATTACCTTTATTACTTTTATTATTATTAAAGTTAATATTCAGGCCTATTAATTAATTATTACTCTTATTATTAGTACTATTACTATAACCTAATATAGAGCTAATATAATCTTTACGTAGTAGCTTTATAGGTAGGTAAAAGTCTTTATCTTTCTTATTATTAAATAACTTCGTTAGTAAGCTAGTAATTTTTACTATATTTTATAAACCTATACTATAGCTTACTAACCTAAGTTATAGTATACTTATATTTCTAAGCTTTATTTTAACTTTTATAGGCTAAACTAATTATACTAGAGAATAATTTAACATGTTTTTACTTAGTATATTTAGGTTTTATAATACTATTTATAAGTATCTATCTAGCTAATAAATAGTTGTAAGACTATTAATTTATTTATTACTCTATATATATTTATTAATTAGATAGAGTATAGTTAGTACTAATAAAAATACTATATATACTATAAGCTTCTCTAGTAAGGTATCTAGCTATAGGTTAGTAGATATATTAATATATACTTTAACTTTAGCCTAACTTATATAGTTATATATTACTTAAATATTGTAGTACTTCCTATTAACTATATTAGTTTTTTAATATATTTTTCTTATAAAGTCTACTATATATCTACTCTTAGCTACTATTACTACTAGTATACTATTACTTAATTTATTTATAAGCTAGCCTATTAACAAAGAGCTATTAATACTTCTAGCCTTTATATTATTTTAAGTTTTTATATTTAATATACTATATTCTTAGTTAATAGACTAGTAAATTAGCATTATTAATATTATATTAATAAATATTTATATAGTTATAGTATATATACTTTTTATTAATAGTATTACCTCTGCTAACTTTATTACTATTAATCTAATAATTAATATTACTTTATTATTATATTACTTTAGACCTTTATAAATACTTAGCTTAGCTATTTTAGAGCTATTGTTTTAATTATTAGTATTAGCTAATATATCTCTAGAATATATAGTATTAATATATCTATATAGATTAATGTAGTGCTAGATATAGTATAGGTAGCTACTTCTAAATAAGTCTATATATTATTAGCTTTACTTATTATTAAGTTAGTAAGCCTCTTTAGAGTTAGTATACTTAAATTAATTATATTACTCTTTATACTATACTTAACTCTCTATTACTTAATTACTAATAGTAATAGTAGTAGAAGTTCTATAGTAATAACTACCTACTTTATCTACTTATTTATAGGCTTACTCTTTACTATCTGTATTTATATAGTTTTAAGTAAGATTATATTTATTTTTAGAGTATTAAGTAAAGTACTAAATTCTAAAAGTCTTATTTATAATATAATTCTTATAAATAGCTTAACTTATTCTTAGCTTAGGTAGTTAATTACTTTATTACCCTTATCTAGATATTAGAAGTATTTTTACTCTTCTACTTTTTAGCTACTATTAGAGCCCTTATTTAATTTTTTTTTCTACCTTTACTAACCTATTTACTAACCTACGTTAATATTATTAAGTTCTTAAGTATAATATATTATTTATGTTTATATTAGGTATAACCTTAAGGTTTATAAGTAATAGTAGTACGCTATATATATTATAAGGTTTACTAATAGTTATATTAATATATAATAGTAATAATATCTTATTAGAGTAGCTATTTAAAGCTTAAAATAGAAATATAATCTTATATAAACTAGCTAAATTTATAAATTCTTACTTTATATATTCTAGGTTATATAATAGAAATATCTTTTAAGTAATTATTAAGTTAACTTTACTCTATATATTTAGTATAAGGTATAGCTTACTTATTAGTTAGTATACCTTAAGAAGCTTACTATTCTCGCTAAATATACTAGACTATTACTTACTTAATATAAGAAGTGTAATACTACTACTCTTATAAAGAGTTAATAGTTCTATAACTAAATTATTAGATATATATTAACCTTCTAGTAGTATATTCTATATATTTACTATACTAGTTTTTTAACTATAGAGTATATAATTATACTGTAGTATATTTAGTCTATTAGGTATTAAGACCTATATTGTGTTTAGGTTATCTATAGGCTTAGGTAGTTAATATTTATATACTAATATTCTTTATTATATTACGTAGCCTAGTATTTTATAATCTAGTATATATATAGAAAATCTATTCTCTTATAGAATAGATACTTATTTAATAATAGTATTTATCTAATTTATTTATACTATAGGTTTTACTACTCTATTATTCTATTATATCTTTTCTATATTATAGCTTATAGTAACCTTTTTTAGCTCTACCTTATATAGTATTTACTTTATTTAGGTTAGAATAACTATAGTAGGTTAATTCTACTATAGTATAAGTAGTTTATTTTAGTAGAGCCTTACTATAGGCTCTATTATACTGCTTATAAGGCTTCTGTATATTGTGCTAAGCTTTATTTAGTTATACTTCTAGCTTAACCTTAGTATAATACTTTACAACACTACTTTATAAGCTATACTAAACTCTAAATACTAAACCTAAATTAATTAATATAAGTATATTTTAGTTAAAGAATATTTTATACCTTTTACTAGACTTTTTTATATACCTTTCTTGCTTATTATTTTACCTATTCCTTTATTTTTAAGAAAGGTAGTAACTTTTTAAACTTTACTACTATCTTCTTATTATTATATAGTTTATTAATATATTTATTTTATTCTAAGCTCTAACTTTTTTCTTTTTCTTAATACTATACCTTAGCCTTATAGATATAGCTAGCTTTTATAATATATTACTTAATTAAGTATTTTATATTATAAAAGTTACCTTTTTTATTATTTTACTAATTATTTACTAGGCCTAGCTGTTCTAGTATTAGTATATTAACTAGATTTTCTAGGTTAAAATACTCTAAATATTTAGTATTTAGTACTAGGCTAATTCTTAAATATACTAAAAAGTAAAGCTTTATAGTACTATTTATAATAACTTATTTAACTAACTATAGTCTATTATACTACTAGCTTACCTTATAATAATAATTTCGTAGCTTGTAATCTTTCTAAAGCTTAATATATACTAGGCTACTAACTTCTAGCAGTAAAAGCTTATATAGTTTATTATAGGCTCTAGTTATTTAAACTAATATATTTATAATTCTATTCTAGGCTTTCTGCTAGTTAATATACTGTTTTTTATTAGTATTAGCTATTAACCTCTTACTAAATAGGCCTTCTAAGAGCTTTATTCTATATTTAACCTTATTTAGTAATAGACCTATTACTGTATTAAAAGAGTTATTTATTACTTTTATAATAATAAGGTATATTTTTACTTATTCTAAATTACTTTTTATAAGATAAAACTAAATTACTATCTTTACTATCTATACTATATAATTAATCTACTTATTAGCCTATACGTAAAAGGCTATAGTAGTAAAGATCTAAATATCTAATTTCTTAAATATCTTCTACTAAATTACTAATATAACCTTAGAATCTCTAATTATTACTATTACTACAAGGCTATTCTAATTCTTTAGTATACTTTATAGTACTATTACCTATTTAATTAGTCCTTATATCTTCTAACTAAGCCTTTACTTAATATTCTTAGAAAACCTATTAGTTATATATTAGCAAAATTTAATTTTAATAAGTAGTACTAGGTAGAGCCTTTCTAGCGTTAGCCTTCTAGCCTTTCTACTATTAAGCTTCTTTATAAAACTAAAGGCTACTTACTAGTCTTTTACTACTTTTAATAGTCTTTTACTACTTATAACACTTTTAATTCTTAGTAGCTACTAGTACTATAATAGTTAGCTAATAGAAATAATAGAAGTAATAGAAAGGTACTTAACTTATAATAAAGAGCTAGCCTAGGTTTTAGCTAGTATACCTATAAAATAAAAACTTTTCTTTTACTAATATACTAAGTACTTAGTTAAACTCCTAATTTCTTACTTAAGTAAAAAAGTTAATTATAATTATAAAAAACAGTATTTATATTATAATAATTAGTGTAAGGTTACTATAATATTAAGATCTTTTTATTTATATTATTCTATATTTTTAATCTTAACTAATATACGTATTTAATTTAGTAGTAAGATTATAGATTTTACTATTTTCTCTTACTATCTTATATACTAAGTTAAATCTAATTAAGAACCTTTAATTATAAACTAGGTTAAAAATATATTCTATTAAGGCTTTAGAAATTACTAACATTAGCTTATAATTATAATAGTTAATACTAGATAGTAGTTTTTTTTTAGAGTATAAATAGATTTAGGCACTTTTAATTATTTATTAGGTTTTCTAATAGCTTAAGATTTACTAGTATATTTAACTAATACCTTTTTTACTAGTATATATTAACTAACTACTTATAAAAAGCTAGCTTTAATATTACTATAAGTATATATAATATAAATTATTTAGGAATTACCTAGGCCTACTAATTCTCTATATTTAGCTTACCTTATTTATTTATCTACTAATCCTTTATAATGTACTATATTAACTTTAGCCTTTATAGTAAATCTATTATAATATACTATCTATTAGATATTTATTATATAATAAACCTATATTATAATAGGTATTATAATACTTAAACTAATTCTATATTTAGCTTATCTATAGCTAGGCTTACTAAACTTATTTATTTAATTATACCTATTATTACTATATAATTTATTAGAATTATTACTAGCTTGTTATCTTAAGCTAACTTAACTATATATTATATTTTCTTTATTATCTATACTAAGTATACTACCTTTAACTTTATTAGATAATTTTTAGTCTTAGCTTATAATTAACTCTTTAATAAGTATAATATTAGCTTATTATTACCTAGGTATAGTCCTTTTAGCTTTTCTATCTTACTTTTAACGTTATATACTATTAAGTAAATCTATACTACTTAGATATATTAATACTAATAAAAAACAACTACTTTAGATTAAAATATACTAGAAACTTCTCTAACCTAAAGTAAATTTATATTACCTAAATTAATTTCTATAGATTCTTTCTATTCTATAGTATAACTATAGACTTAGTGTAATATACTCTTATATAGTCTAATAGCAGAGCTGCCTTTAATAACTTTATTTTTACCTTTTATAGTAGTTTAGCTAACTAGTAGTAATAGGCTATATATTACTTAAGCTATTCTATTATTCTTTTAAAGGATAGAGATTAATATATTATATTACTATTATATTTTAGTTATATATACGTTTTAATTACTTATTAGTTCTTTTTATATATTAATACTAACTATAGTAGCTAAAGTTTAGCCTAGTTATAACTCTCTACTTTCTATTACTATTACTATTACTATTACTATTATTACTATTACTATTACTATTACTCTAATAGTTACTTCTTATACTACTAATAGTATATATAGGTACTATACCTACTTAATAACTACTACTAATTTTATCTTCTTATTATAATACTTAAAATCTATTAAAGCTTACTTAAAGTAGCTCTTATCTAGAGTTAAAGCAGCGTTAATACACTACTTAGTAGTAAGCTAGTTAAGTTAAAAGAGCTAGGTATTAAAGAAAGCTCTATTAGCCTTATAGACTAATATAAGAAGAAGCTAAACTCTAACCTTATAAAGCTTTACTCTAAGCCTCTTATTAATCTTAAGGTACTAATAGATATTAAGATCTTCTATATAGAATATATTACTATTACACTAAGTAATACCTTCTATCTCTTTTTACTATCTAGTTAGGTCCTTAGAAATCTTACTATAGATATCTAAAGTACTATAATAGTATTAGAAATTAAAAATAGTAATTTATACCTTACTAGAGTACTATAAGATATAGCGCCTAAACGTCTAGGCTTTAGTAATAGCATTTTATTATAGGTATATAATTTTAGTTATAGTAAGATAAGATTAAAGATAAAATAAAAAATAAGTTAAAAGACCTTAAGGTATAAAGAATCTTTATATACTAGCTTACCTATATTAACTATTATTCTCTAAAGAATTAGGATTAATATATTACGTTACTATTATATTTTTATATATACGTTTTAATTATTTATTAGTTTTTATTATTTACACTAATTATAGTAGCTAAAGTTTAACCTAGTTATAAGTTATTAGCTCTCTGCTTTATATTACTATTACTATTACTATTACCCTTACTACTACTTTCTAATAAGATTAGCTAGCTTTATTCTTATTTTATATTAATCTTATAGTTCTATAGTAAGGTTTTATACCTTACTTAATTACTTCTATAAGTCTTTATTTCTAGGCAGTATACCTAGGGTCTATAAAAGCTTACTTAAAATACTTCTTATCCTTAGTTAAAATAGTATTATTATACTACTTAGTAGTAAGGCTATTAAGTTAAAAGAGCTAGGCGTTAAAGAAAGCTCTATTAGCCTTATAGACTTATATAAGAAGGAGCTAGACTCTAACTTTATAAAGCTTTACTTTAAGCTTCTTATTAAGTTTAAGGCACTACTTAATATCTAAATTACTTAAGTAAAATATATTACTATTACGCTAAGTAATTCTCTCTATTTTTTTCTACTACCTAACTAGGTCTTTAAAGATCTTACTAGAGATATCTAAAGTACTATACTAGTACTAGTAATTACTTACTTTAATTCTTTAATTATTAGTTTACTATAAAATATAGCGCAGGAACTTCTAGGCTACGCTAATAGAATTATATTATTAGTTAGGTATAATCTTAGTTATAAAGAAAGATAAGATAAAATAAATAAATAGATAGATAGATAAAGTATTTAGATCTTAACTCTTAAGGTATAAAGAATATGTATATACTAGCTTACCTATATAAACTATTATTACCTATACCTCCTCTAAAGCTACCCTAGATATATATTTAGAATTACTAGTTAATTAAAGAGTTTTTATAACCTAGCTAGAGTTTATAACTAAACTAAACTTTAACTAATAGCTGCCTAGGCACTTAAATACGCGTCTATACTAGTATATTAAGTAGCTAGTTATTAAAGAAACAGTATTCTTATTAGCTTTCTATTACTATTACTTTATACTTTAATAAATATTTACTATATAAAAAGGGGCTAGGTAATAGCTTCTATACTAAGTTACTATATTAGATTCTTACTATATTACGTCTATCTACTTATACTAGAAGTATAAATACGCTATAAACCTAAAATAATAAACTTTTATTACCTAAACTCTTTTTAAAGCTACTTATTATATATTTAGAATTACTAGTTAATTAAAGAGTTCTTATAACTAAGCTAAAGATTATAATATAAACTAGAGTTTAAAACTAAACTAAACTTTAACTAATAGATACCTAGGTTCTTAAATATACGTCTATACTAGTATAATAAATAGAACGTTACTAAGATATAGTTAATCTACTTTTTAATACTCTTATTATATACTCTTACTAATATCTATTATATATAAAGAGGCTAGGTATTAGCTTCTATACTAAGTTACTATACTATAATCTTACTATAATACGTTATCTACTTATATAATAAGTATAAATACTCTAAAATTTTAAAATAATTCTATTATTCTTAGGTATATCTCTAAATTAGCTACTATTCTAAGAAATACTATATTACTAATTACTATAATATTATTTTACTAGTATTTATATACTAAAGGTATCTACCTACTATTCTAAGAGTACTAGTAATAGAAATCTAAGGTATACCTTATTACTACTTAAGGTAAACTTTTAGTTATATAAGGTATTTAATAGCTAATCTAAAAGTTTTAGGTACTTATCTAGCGTTATACTAATTACTAATATATTATTAATATATCTTTATATAAATATATAATAAGCAGCTTCTCTTAGTACTATATCTACTTATTATTAAGTGTAAGGTAGTAAATTATAGTAGCCTATAGGTATAATATTTACTTACTTTAGTGTTTTATAAAAGACTACTATTACCTTATTCTAATCTTCTTAAATTATTTAATATTAGTATAAGTAAGTTATTATATTTACTACTAAGATAAACTTTCTATTTCTAACTTATTTATAGAGTAACCTTATTATTTATAAGAGGTATAGGTTTTTCTAAAAAATCTTATTTAATTTTAAGATACTAATAGCTATATATTTCTATTTAATAACCTAGTCTTTAACTATAAGTTTATATAACAAAATAAATTCTAGAAAGTGGAAAAGCTTATTACTCTTAGAATATCCTATTTTACTTTATTAATAGAGCTTATAAGATAACTTATTAACTAATTCTCGTTTCTCTAAGCCTAATAGGTAGACTTAATATATTAGTGTTACTTCTATTAATTTATAGTTTAGAAGTAAAAGTATTCTTAGCTAATCTTCTTTAGAAGAGTAATTACTTTTTTAGTCTCTATAAATAGCTATAGAAAGAACTTTATAACCTTATTAATAGCCTAAGCTATTATCTTATTACTTTATATAGTTACTTAAAAGGTATTTTTTTAAGCTTCTAGCCTTAAACTTATTAATATTACTAGATATTAGTTTAATCTTAGCTTTACCTTTTTACTATTAACTACTACGCTAACTTAAGGCTATATAAAGTAAGCTATTAGTCTAACTAGTCTATATTTTTTAGTATTAAACTTATAATTTAGAATATTAGTTTAATTTATTACTTACTATAAGGCTACTTTACTTACTACTATAGAATAATATATATATAATAACTTAGTTATTTTATTTCTTTTTCTCGACTTTTTCTACTTTATAAATATCTTTAAGTATAAAGTAACCTCCTTATATAAAGCGTTATAGTTATATATAATACTTATTATAGTATTACCTTAGTAGATATATAGACTACCTATTAAACTTAGCTTAATATAAATATATAATATTTTAAATATATAGTTACTATTACTAAATAGGTCTATTACCTTTTTTATTACTATAACTACTAGTATAGTTATATATACTAGTACTTATATTATTACCTTGTACTATATAGCTTATAACGTTTACTAATCTATATTACTAGCTATCTAAACCTTTAATAGAATAATTCTATTCTATTAGCTTTTAATTATTAAGCTTCTTACTCTTATATTTAATACTAAATTATTTAGTATAATTACGTTTATATCTTAATTAAATAGGTACTTTAAACTTTTATAAAATATAACTTAAATTAAATCTTTACCTTTACTATTATATAAATCTTGTTTATACTATATATATTAGGTATAAAAAAGGTAATTACTATAAACTTTAAAGTTTCTACTAACCTGTTTACTACTTCTTTAACGCCTAAATACTTAGTTATATACTAAATTTATATATCTAGATCTTATAACGTAAGCTTAGATTAATTAATAAGTATAATAATATATTATAAGTCTAGGTAGATATTATCTAGCTTGCCTTTCTTTATTAATAATACTTTTATTATTATATTAGTATATCTCTTAAATTTGCTACTAGTTTCTAATTACTTTTATTATTTTAGGTTTATAGCGTATTTATACTTGTAGTATAAGTAGATAGACGTAATAGAGTAAAAATCTAATATAGTAACTTTCTATTAAAGCTAATACCTAGCCTCTTTTTATATAGTAAATATTAGTAGAAGTATATAGTAAAGGTAATAGAAAGCTAATTAGTTATTTCTTAATAACTAGCTACTTAATATACTAATACAGACACGTATTTAAGAGCCAAGGCAGTAACTAAAGTTTAGTTAAGCTTTAGGTTATTTATAGTAGTTAACTAGTTTCTAATAGTATAATATTAGATATAAGTATACTCTTTTTTTATTTAGGTATTATTTCTTTAATAGGCTTACTTAGAATTTCTACTACCTATACTTTATACCTATTTTAAAACTTAAGGTTGTTAAATAATCTATTTCTTTAATAGAAACTTTTTTTATTATATTAGTATAGATATTTTTTAATTACTTTATTTACTTTTCTAAAATAGGTACTAAACTTAATAAAGTTAGTTTAAACTATATAATTAGTAACCTTATCTTTTATTATTTCTTTTAATATAGGTTACTTATCTTCTTCTACCTATATTATCTAAGTACGTATATACTTATATTCTAATTAAAATACCTTTTCTTACTTATTTTTTAATAGTTTAACTAATATACTCTTTTCTCTATAAACCTTAATTTACTATTAGTTTAGTTTCTTAGAATAGCTAAATACCTAAAAAGGCTTTTTAATCTACTATACTATTAGTACTAGTACTATACTTTAGCTATTTAATTATAGTTAGTATAAGTACCTCTATCTATATTTTCTATTTCTACTACTACTATTTTACTATTACTACTTACTTTTATCTTACTACTACTAATAGTTTTAACAGAATATTATTCTACTTTATTTTAGTATTAGTTTACCTTAAGCTTTTCTATTACCTAAGAAGTACCTCTTTATAATACTTTATTTTAGGTTTATAGCGTATTTATGCTTGTAGTACAGGCAGATAGACGCAACACAGTAAGAATTTAATATAGTAACTTAGTGTAGAAGCTAATACCCAGCCCCTTTTTACACAGTAAACATTAGTAGAAGTACACAGTAATAGTAATAGAGAGCTAATTAGCTGTCTCTTAATAACTAGCTGCTTAATGTACTAATGCGGACACGTATTTAAGAGCCTAGGCAGCCGTTAGTTAAAGTTTAGTTTAGTTATAAACCCTAGATTATATTATAAACTATAGCTAGGTTGTAAAAACTCTTTAATTAACTAGTAATCCTAAATACATAACTAGGGCAGCTTTAGTAGGGGTGTAGGCAACAACAGTTTATATAGATAAGCTAGTACATAAATATCCTTTACACCTTAGAAGTCTTTATCTATCTATTTTATCTTTCTTTATAACTGTAATTATAGCTAACTAACAACACAACCCTATTAGCGCAGCCTAGGTATTCCTACGCTGCGTCTTATAGTAAGCTAATAAGTAAAGGATTAAGGCAAGCAATTACTAGTACTAGTGCAGTGCTCTAGATATCTCTAGTAAGATCTCTAAGGACCTAGTTAGGTAGTAGGAGGAAATAGAGGGTATTACTTAGCGCAACAGTAATACCTTCTACCTAGAAAATAAAGATGTCTTACGGCGCCTTAAGCTTAACAAGAGACTTAGGGTACAGCTCTATAAGGTTAGAGTTTAGCTCCTCCTTATATAAGTCTATAAGACTAACAGGGCTTTCTTTAACGCCTAGCTCTTCTAACTTAATAAGCTTACTACTAAGCAGCGTAATAATACTGCTCTAACTAAGGATAAGAGCTGCTTTAAGCGAGCTTTTATAGATCCTAGGTACACTGCCTAGAAAAAGAGAATTATAGTAGCGATCCAGGAGGTACAATACCTTACTACAGGGCTGTATAATTAATATAGAATAAGGACAAAGCTAGAAGTAGCAGCGATAGTAACAGTAACAGTAATAGCAATAGCAATAGCAATGGAAAGCGGAGGGCTAATAACATAAAAAGTTTACAACCGGGTTAAACTTTAGCTGCTGTAGTTAGTGTAAATAATAAAGACTAATAAACAATCGAAACGCGTGCACAAAAACACAATAGTAACGTAATACATTAATCCCCGTCCTCTAGGTTATAATACTTTATATTTCTTTTAACTATTTAATATAAAGCCTAATTCTACTTCTATTCTATTATATAAATATATTTTATCTAAATTGCACTATATATTTTACTTATTAACTATAGATTTAATAAAGCTAATAATATTTATTTTAGTTTTTAGCTTAAATTTTATATTTATTAATAGTAGGTTAATTCTATACTATATAAAGCTTAGTAAGGTTATTAAGTTAAAAATCTCTACTATTTTTACGTTTTAGATAACTATATATACGTATACTATACTACCTTTACTTATATTCTAGTTAAGGTTTAGCTAAAAGTATTAGACCTTCTAGACTCTAAATATAGAAGTATTATATAACCTTTTAGCTTCTTTTACTAGAGTAGCTATTCTAATTACTTATCTTATCTAGATAAAGAACTATATTACTTATTCTATTCTAATATTCTTTATTTTAGGTCTATAATTTTCTATTCTAGGTAATACTACTATTTTTTTAACTTATTACTACCTAAAGTCTTTACTAATTATAGCTATAGAAGAGCTTTTAGAGATTAATAACTTCTTATATTAGTTATTAGTTCTTAACTCTAGTAGTAGCTCTAACTAGGTAATTAGTACTTATCTCTATTAGTATATCTTTTAAGAAGTTATAGAATACTCTTTACCTAAAAAGGCTAATATAGGACTTACTTTAGTATAGACTACTATTTATTATAGTAAAATACTAATTTTACTATTGTCTAAT